GCTTCACTGTGTACAGGAGCGTCCCATTTCTCCGCATGAACAAGTGATCCAGGAAACAGCCAGCTGGCTGTCCTGCCCTTGGTATCTTTTTCCTTCGAGGAAACTATGACATGTAGCTCCCTGGCACCATCTCCCTCGTGTTGCCTCCATTCGTAAGCCTGAATGAGCAGCTGTGCCACTAGATTAGCTTCATCATCGAAAACGAACAGCTGCTGTCCTTTTTCTAGCTCCGACTTGGTGCCGTCCAGCAAGTTCAGCAGACCAGTGTCCCCATGCACTGTCCAGCAAGTTCAGCAGACCAGTGTCCCCATGCACTGGCTAAGGTGTGTGCACAAGCATGGATACCACATACTTACAACCTGCCTTAAGACAGGTATCCATGCTTCTGCAGTGGTTTCCTGCACACACCTTAGCCAGTGCACATGCCTGCTGTGCATGCAGGCACCACTCCACCATTCACCCTGCTCCACAGTTCTGGTAGCAGGTGGCCTGGACTCTTGCTGCTGCTCTTCTTCTGGGGCCTCCTGATTCACATCATCAGCTGGACACGGGACAGGTCCACGACCCTAGCAACCCTTTCAATGCTGCATGGTGTTATCAGCCCGGCCTGGCTTGGAGCTGTGAGAGTGGTGGAAGCCTGCCAGCCACAGCAACCCCGGCCACAACCACAACTGCAACAAAGGTGTAGCAAGCTATATTTACCTTAGAATATCTTTAAGCTATTAAAGCTTAATCACAGTAACGGTACAGTCCTGTACTTACAAACCATACTCGTTAACTGTAGGAACTCACTTTCTGTTGTGCTATCACAACCTAGCATATGACAGCAAGACTCCAGGAATGGAGATGGCAGCAGGCGGGCCGCATTTAAGCCACCCTGGCGAAGTGCTTCAGGCAGACACTTTCGTATCACTATACCAGTGTTCAGAGTTCAAGACTCTGCTGTCACCATTCTCAATTTATGTCTTCGAACTTCGATTTCCCATACTGCTTCTCATGTTAGGAGCAAGACCACGAAGGTTGAGGCCCTCTCCTCCCATGGCTTTACAACCCAACTTCTGCTGAAATGCCTAAGGTAAGGGATGGCTGTTACAAAAGGCCACCGCAACCCCGGCCACAGCAGCAGCCGCAGCAACAGATGCAGCTGCAGCAGCAGCCACAGCAGCAGCAGCCAGTGATACCAACGACAAGGTACATGACTGCTCCACACACATCCAACAGCACCCAGGCGATATCCATGACTGTAAGACGGGTTGGATGGCAGATACCAGGGGGTTTCACAACAACCCTCCTGCTTACATGTCTGACTGCTGGTATTAAATGGCCGTGTTTCTGGTGATTTGGAGGGTCATCTGACCTTCCTCAAGGGTGAAGCAGGTTTTGTTGGTTCGGCCGGTGTTCTCCATCGTGCCTTTTGGATGTGAGTGGGTGAGCTGCTTGCACCAGATGGTTGGTTCCCGACTGACCACCGTCCAGTGGCGCCAGTGCTTGATCTACTTGTGGGAGGAACCGAGGTGAGCAGCCATAGGGTGCTGCTAAAAGAAGCAAGCAGTGTTTGAGATTTCCTGTTATCATGACTATGCTGCTCTGTTTACTGAGGGATCTCGGGTCATGCATGCACTAAATGGGGTGATCACGAACCTATCTAAGGGGACCTGCAACAGCATGGAGTCAGTGGAACGCATTAGTACCCTCCTGTGGAAGGTGTCGATTCAAGTATTTGCAGGTCGCAGGCCTGAGGGTATGCAAGTAGGGAATGGTGCATTATGGTGGAATGAGGAATGCCAAAGTGCCCAGCAACACATATGCTTGCTTGCAGGGTGCGGCTGGGCCCTGGCAGGGTCAAGAATAAGTCAGGTCCTTTGTGGGAAGCGTTTTGTGATGCATGTAACGCAATGAATTGTGCCAAATATTGTGCCCGAGCAGCATATGATGCAGAGAGAATGCGTGAGTTTGTGGTTAGGTGCAGGCACGACAAGCTCACATTATGGTGGGCCTTGGGAGGGCAACTCAGGGAGCGTTGTGAGTTGATGACTTGCATATATTTCGGGATCACTTTGCCACCTTGTTAAATGCAGGAGTTGGGGAGACGGGTGTTGAAGGTGCACATCGGCTCCTTAGCTATATCTCCTTTTGGGCGGATCCTTTGGGAGAAGGTGCTTGGCAAGCATGTCGGACTGCCATGGACAGGAGGGCACGGGCAGCTAGCATCCTAGATGAGCCTTTCACCTTGGAGGAGGTAGCGCGTGCTGTCGGTAGGTTACCAAACCGAAAGGCTCATGGGCTCGAGGCTGCACCACCGTTATGCACACCTCCCACGGGTGGATGAGCAGGGCAGGCAGGGAACGGAGGTGAACTGTATCGTCCCAGTGCTGCACATTTTGTTAGAGCACATCAGGGCAACTGGTGATTTTCCCCAGCAGTTTACCAAAACGGTGATATCCCCAATTCTGAAGAAGGGTGACTCATTGGCGGCAGGAAACTATCAGGGCATTGCAGTTGGAGGAGCACTTGTGAAGTGATATGTGTCAGTGATTCTGGTACGTGCTGGGGAGTGCTGGGGAAACACTGGACCTGCGGCACCCATGCCAAGCGGGTTTCAGGCGGGGTTTCGGCACCGCGCATCACCTCTTTGTCAAGCAGCACCTGGTCAGGCGGCATCGGATGACAGGGCAGCCGCCGTTGATAATAGTAGAGATTGACTTTGAGAAGGCCTTTGATAGGGTGCCTCGCGAGCATATATGGTTTCAGTTGCAGGAGAGGGGTTTAGCGGCCCCATGCTAGATGCTCTGAGAAAAGCATGAGAGGAGGTGTCCATGGTGATGAAAAGGTGAATGAGAAAGTGGGAGGAGAGTTTGAGTGCAAGCAAGGAGTGAAGCAAGGGTGTCCTTCGTCTACGGAGCTGTTTGGACTCTTCATTGAGACACTAGCTGATCTGATTGATACTCATGACCTTGTAGAAGCTGGATTACGTAAGCATGACGCACCCCACGTAGACAGCAAGCGCGTCTCCATACTGTTGTATGCAGATGATGTTATTCTGCTACCGATGACACTAGAGTGAATATCTGAGTTGCTACATCTTGTGGACTTGTTTTGTGAAGCCTTTGGGATGTGGCCAAGTATGAAAGGCTTGTTTTCGCATGTGATGGGACCCAGCAGTCGGAACTTAGCGAGAAATTCCCTCACCCCAACAGCTTATTTGTCTGTGTCTGGAGAGACTTGTTTCCATGTCTTCAGTGACTTTCCTGGCTTTTTTGACCACAACCCCAACTAGCTTAAACCCAACCCACTCATCTCTGCGGCAATGTGATGTATAATCCAGGGTATACATGGAGGGCAATGTGTGGGGGGAGAAATCCCGTTACATGGCTGTATGTGTGTGTGTGTGTGTTTCCTGAAAGGGATCCCAGGGATGGGGGAGAGAGATCACGAGGGACCCCCAAGGGAGGAGGAGCGTGTCAAGGGGATTTGGATTTAAGATCCAGAATGAGCACGGGTGGAGGGGAGGAAGAGGGAGTTGGGAGAGCCATGCCAGCTGCAACAGGCAGGTAAGCGGTAGTAGGCACAGTAGACGTGTATGTCTGTATGTGTACATGTCTGCATGTGTGGTCTGGGGTTGTGGGTTTTTTTTGTCTCCGTATTGGAATTTGATTGGGAATTGGATGAAAGACGTCATTATATGAGTAGGGGGAGCACAGGCACAGCTGCATCTTCGTATGGCGGAATGCACAGCGGCAGCGGTAATTGCCATATGTACAACACAGGCAATTCAGTCGCTTCACAGTCCCTCTGCACATCCGTCTGTCAGTCTGTCAGTCTGTCCGCACCTCTTCCGTCTCTTGATGTCCTTATATGGACTGGCGCGCCCTCACATTGTAACCTGCACCACATAACTCGTGCTTCAGCACACGGCCAACAACGGTCACTGTTACCAACCAACCAACCAACTCGCCAACAGCACCCCTTCATTCAACCAGAGGCCAACGAAATGAAAAGGCTGCGTGTTGAAGTAAAAAAGCAAATACCCCGGTGCTATATTTTATTATTCACAACAGTCAGTCACTCATTACGCCTCCTCCCAACTGTGTATACACATGTATGTATGAGTGTATATACATTTACACATACATGTCATACATATATATGATGTGAGGGACAGGGGGGCATATCTTCACCCGTGGCCGCTACCTGGCGAAACCCTGCCTTCCCCGGTATTTCGGGGCACCCTCATCCAGTCACCCTCGTCAACTTCTCAGTGGATCGCTCAGGTTCCGCACCCACGACCAGCATCCAACGGAATCTGCCGGATCAACAGCGGCCCAACTCCATTCCTGGTCGGCTCGCAGGTTAACTTTATCCCAGGTGACCACCGTCCATCGACTAGGGGCGCAATACCTTCCACCGTCGGAAGGATTTCCGACCCTGACAGGTCTCGATCCCGGGATCTCCCGGGGGCAATGGTCGCGCGTTACCAGTATGTATGTGGGCACCGCCCTGCTGCAGCGAAGGTAGAGGAAGGCTCCCAGACATATCGTGAAACACGCGTTGCTGGGAACATCATCATTCCGGAATTCGTTCACGTGACAACCGACCAATACAAACCGACTGTCACGTTAAAACAGCGAACCAACCGGCTAACCAACCAACGAACTAACGGACAAACGGGCGGAAAAAATGATAAAGACGACCCCAGCTCCTTCTCAATTCGACGAAAGTAGAGGAGCAGGAGGGGGAGGAGTGTACGCCAGCCTGCTACACACACCCTCGTTTAGTTTCATATGGCACTCGGCGGCCCCTCTCTCTCTTTCACCCTCACTCCGCTTCCCGTCGCACTCCATCCATTCCAACCACGCTACTATCATCCCCCCCCCGCACACACACACACAATCGCACCCCATGCAAATATGTGACCCAACCCAACCCAACCCAACGCGACCTGACGTGTCACACATCATCCAAAGGTATTCAGCTCCCCCAGGTGGTCCAGGTAGTGCTGAAGGAACAACGTCCCCATGCTGCAGGTTGCTGGTGGTGATGATGGTGAAGAACCGCCACTGCCGCCGCGGCCAATGGTGAGGCCGCCGCTGCTGCCGGTGTCGCTGCTGCTGGTGCCGCTACTGCTCGTGCCACTGCTGTTGGTGCGTCCGCTGCCACTGTCACCGTCAGCATCTTCAGACGGACTCCGGCCCCGGGCGGTCAGTGCCCCGGTGCCAGCATAGATAGCCAACGGTCGCGGCAGTTGTGATGGCGATGATTGTGGTGACACCGGCGCTGTGGAAATGGCGGCAGCAGTGCTGGCAGTTCCGCTGCTGCTGCTGCTGCTATTGCTGACGATGTGGTTTGTGTTGATACGGCATGAAGCCGGGGAGTCTGGCGTCCAACGATCCCACCAAGTGTACGACAGTCCTGGCGACATGGATTGCAGTACGGCATGAACCTGGAGCCAGCCAGAGAGGCAGCCAGACGGACGGACAACCAGACAGACAGACAGAGGGACCGGGAGGGGCCAGGAAAAGATGCTTAGGTCAGGGTGGAAGTGGTGGTAGTAGTGGTGGTGGTGGTAGTAGTGGTAGTAGTGGTGGTGGTGGTAGTAGTGGTAGTAGTGGTGGTGGTGGAAATGGCGGTGAAGATTTTTTGAAAGAGAGCGCTTTAAACGGCACACGGTATCTGTCCCCCCTCCTCCCCCCACTTTCCCAACTCCCTCCCCTCGAATCGCACCCACTCACGCGCTGCAAGGCGTCCCCAGTCGCGGGTGGTGACGGCGGCGGAGCTGCCACGTAGTCCCGGTACAGGGGGTACGACTCGCTACCTGCGGTATGTACAGCATGTCGTTAGTGCAATTTAGATGTGGGGGGCCCCGTGAGCACTCCTGTAAGGCACGTCGTGCGACAAAACATATAGACATACGTACATATGTACGAACATAAACACACAGGCATAGGGCAAGATTTCCCTTCACACGGGGGGAGCTTCCACGTGCATTCCAAGGACCTGGGTGTGAGGGAATACGTATGTAGATATATGTATGTATGTATGTATGTATGTATGTATGTATGTATGTATGTATGTATGTATGTATGTATGTATGTATGTATGTATGTATGTATGACTTAGATTACACTGTGGGCTGCGAGAGCCGGGGGCCGAAGCCGAAACACAGCGCAAGGGTCGGGAGCACACAGCACAAGTCGGTTAGTCTTGTGTGCTCCCGACCCTGACTCAGACTGCCAACACTCTACGCAGCATGTATGTATGTTATCAGGCGGGAGGCAACGTATCTCTCAGGGTTCCTTGCGGGGTGCACCGCCATCGCCATTGCGATAGCCGGCCGAACCAGCGGCGGGAAACAAGCGGGCCACTCCTCCGGGGAGCCTGCTGAGGACGAGAGAGAGGCTGTGCTAGAAAGCTGCTAGAAGGTCTAGTGCTGTATATACGTCAAGGGGAAAGGTTCCTGCTGTTGTGTGCTGTCGTGGTGGTAAGTTTGAGCTTCTGCATCTGATATTTCCGCAGGTGAGGGGGCTTTAACAGGAAGAAAAGTAAACGTCTTAAAAGCCTTTGCTTTAAAGAACGTCCATTTCCCATTGTGCGGCACGGTGGCTATGAACCGTGGGTCGTCCTTCAAGGTCTTGCAAACACAATGGGAATTTTGGCGAAATGAAAAGATTTTATCAGATGGGGCTAGGCTTTAATCATGCCCTGCCTTTAGCCAACGTGAGGCTGTAACGCGCTCACCGAGGACGACGCCCGTCAGTTCTGCACAATATGGCTTGAGGAGCCGGAGAAGTGTGCGCTCTGGAATACGACCATCACGCAGGAGGAATGCTCTGCAGTGTGATGGCGTCGTGCCTGAGTGGAACATGCAGAGCAAATTTCCCATTCAACAAACGTAACCTGTAAACATCCTTACCCAGCAGGTTCTGCCAAAGTAAGGTATGGATTGCTAATGGAAAGGCTGACGCAAGTTGGCCTGAGGAGAATTCCTAAAAGCCTCTTGTAGGGTTCGATCCGTCGATGCAGTGTAGCAGGAGAAAGAAGACAACGTTCCATTTTAATTTCTTATATGATAGTTGATTTTCTAATCTACAACTGGGTTCCAATGCAGGTGGGATACGCAGATAGCCCCGACCGATTTCAATTTTCAGTCTGAATACAGTAGTCGTTGCTATACGGAGGCCGAGCTGCACATCAAAGACGGCCCATTGTAAATCCATTTCGGAGATATTGCACGTCCTGATTTCGCACATCCTTTTTGCTAGTACACCACTTGCTTGCATGGCAGCATAAGTTCACCAACGAAGCCGACGCCAAATGCCACCGCCGAGATGCCATCAGCTCTCATATGGCCCAACGTTGACAAAGCGTGTTGCCTCGCTGGTACCAAGGCCTTCTGCGGCAGCAACTCGGAGATGTGCGGTTCGTGTCGTCGCCGACCTTTCGGCAAGAGGCCGCCCGATCTTGCCCAAATCAGTTATTGTTGAACGCATTATGGGAGAAGGGTCTTTTGGACAAGTCTTCGGAGTAAGATTAATTGGTGCCCTCTGATTGCGTAGGACAGCTCTGCCCAACCCCCCTTTTGTAAGCCCATGCTATCTACATGCATTTCATAGGGGCTCCTGAGCACGCCAACTGGGAATCAGCGCGTTGTCATGAAACGCGTGAAGACCAGGGTCCAGGTGCGATTGTGGAATTGACTAGGCATATTCATCTCTTAACCAATTATTACCTCTAAATCCGCGACGGAAAGATTTAATTTGGGCTGTCCTCTCCAGGGGCCCAACTAATGGCACCGGACGGGGGGGCGATGTTGCAGCGTAGGGTCTGAGATGCCAATGAAACGGGTCGCACGAATCGCTCACTGTTTTAGTCAACATGAGCATTAAAAATACGGCATCATCCTACCTACCACCAAACTGCCAGCCTGGTCAGCCTTGCTACGTCCATGGGCGTGTATGTGTGTTGGGGGGGTTGCATAAGTTCCAACACCCGTTAACTTCGCAGGCAGTGGCAGCTGCCCGAGGTGAATCAGAGTCCAGCAACTGCTCTTCTATGGTCGTATGAACTATTAACCCTAAGTTACTTTCCACAGTGCATCACCATGTAATTCTTCTCCTCCTGGAATTCCTCCCCCGGCCCCCTACACACACACACACGCTCTAACCCCCGCCGTACTCCCGATTCTCTCCCCTCCCGTAGCTGACCCTTTGCTTCTTGCATGCCATCCCCCCACCTTCCTTCTTTACCTCC